AGTCCCTGAAGGCTTGGCATGTGTCTCTGTGATGGTTTGAATGTCCCCTTTGAAAGTCATATTGATATGAAAAAAAAAACTCAACATCACTGATCATTAGAGAAATGCAAATCAAAACCACAAAGAGATACCATCTCCTACTAGTCAGAATGGCTATTAAAAAGTCAAAAATAACAGATATTGGTGAGGTTGTGGAGAAAAAGGAAAGCTTACACACTGTTGATACACTGTTAGTGGGAGTGTAAAATAGTTCAGCCACTGTGAAAGACAGTGTGACAATTCCTCAAAGACCTAAAGACAGAAATACCATTTGACCCAGAAATCTCATTACTTGGTATATACCCAAAATAATATAATTATTCTATTATAAAGACACATGCACATGTATATTCACTGCAGCATTGTTCACAATAGCAAAGACACGTAATCAACCTAAATGCCCATCAATGATAGATTGGATAAAGAAAATGTGGTACAAATACACCATGGACTATTATAGATCCATAAAAAAGAAAAAGATCATGTCCTTTGCAGGGAAATGGATGGAGCTGGAGGCCATTATCCTTAGCAAACTAACACAGAAACAGAAAATCAAATACTTCATGTTCTCACTTTTAAGTGGGAGCTAACGAATGAGAACACATGGATACATTGAGGGAAATAACACACACTGGGGCCTTTCGGAGGGTGGAGGGTTAAGGGTGGGAGGGGGAAGAGGATCAGAAGAATAACTAATGGGTACTAGGCTTAATACATGGGTGACAAAATAATCTGTACAACAAACCCCCATGACACAAGGTTACCTATATATCAAAACTGCACTTGTACCCTTGAACATAAAAGTTTAAAAAAAATTACAAAAGCTCAACATATTAAAACAAAAAAATCACAGTAAAATTTCATTGTCATTGTGACAATATTACGAGGTGAGACTTTAAGGTGTGATTAAGCCATGAAAGCTCTGCCCTCATCAATGGATTAATGTCATTGTCTTAAGAGGCGCTTAAGATAGAATGAAGCCCGGCCCCCTCTTGCCCTCTCTCATTCTTGTGCGTGCCTTCTCACACCCTTGCACCCTTTGCCATGGGATGATGCAGCAAGAAGACCCTTGCCCAATGCCCAGAAGATATTGGTACCCTTGGACACTGTAGCCTCCAGAACCATGAGCTGAATTAATCTCCATTGATTATAAGTCATCCAACCTCAAGTATTCCATTATAGGAGCAGAAAAGAACTAACACTCTCTTCTTGAGCTACCTGTACTCAGCCCTGTGGGCTCTCTGAGTTCATGAATCAAGCTGATCAAGTGGAGCTTGCTTCAGGCAAGTACAGGTGGCTTCTTTTCTCTTTGTCTCAGCTTCTCAGCTTGCCAAAGGATGGATAAGTCAGTATTGTGCAGGTTCCAGGGTCTATCCAGATTCCAACAAGAGGCAGGAGATCCCTGAACTTTGATTCAGTGTGAACAAAGCCAATACTGCACTCTTGTCCCAGGTGGTGATGTTCACTGGCACATTTATGTCCCCAGCATATACCTATCATTAGTCAAGATTCTTTTACTTATAATTTTAAGCCTACATGACAAAAATACCTAAAGTGTAGCTTCATTTAATGTTGGGTTTATTTCACTCTCTGGAAAAATGAAATTCCCAACCTTTCTAAGGTAAATTCTTGTTTTCCTTCTGTAAAGGAGTCTGTGATATTTCCTGTCACGGAAAAGCCTCAGAGAGATTTGCTATAGGAATGAAGTGGAATTGCACTATCATTCAACATAGGGTGTATCTTCCACAGGGCCCCCTTCTTATGTAGAGGTGTTCATGAAAGATGACTGTGAACACTGAATTAAGGAAATACATTCATTGTCTATCACTAGTAGTATCATTTAATATCAAATTCTTAATTCAAATACATATTTACTCATTCAACAAATATTTCATTAGCATCTACAATGTGCCAGGTGATAGTGTCTTTGGCATCCGACACCTAAAATACAGTCTCATAGGGATGGAGGAAACCTGTTTAAAAAAGCAGCCTCCCTCCCCTCAAGAAACTGTATCCTGCCCTTTATCTTCATTTCTGCCTCTCACTTAACACTTACTAACTTCTTGGACTTGGAGTTTACATTTGTTCTTTGCCTGGCTTCCCTGATCCCAAATAAGAAATGACCTACAAGCTAATACACTGAATCACTTTATATGACAAACACTCTTAGTAATGCAAATAATCACTCTGTAATTCAGCCATGTTGAACATATGAATTTTCATAAAGTGGCTTACCCCAATAATAGAACAAAGAGTTTTTCCCAGGAATTAAAAAGGCAACCAGGGCATGCTAAAATGGCACCTGGATAATAAATTAGAACAGGTGGGATGTTGCTTATCTTCCTAAGGGTCCTTTCTCCCTGCTAATCTCTTCCTTCCTGTTTGCTTTTGATAGGTGTTTAGGATTAGATAGGTAACTTGGGAATTATTCATGTGGAACTAGAGGTCAAAATTCATTGACACAGATCATCTAGTTGGATCATTTTATTGAACATAGATCATTTTATCTGTAGGGGTATATAATCCCCTACCAAAAAACTGCATTTCATTTTTCTCAGTCAATTCAGAATATTAAATCAACTTGCACAGTTTTAACTGTAAAGAAATTTCTATTCAATTGTAAAGAAATTTCTACTATATTCTTTTGATTCACAACACTATTTTTCCTTACTTTGTATAATGTTCCCAAACCAAACCATCCAAATACCTCCTTGAAAGAAGGCATTAGGTAGTAGCATTTTAGCTTTAGAAACGTGCATGTAGTTACTTAAAACCTTGTAAATTTTTTCTCCTGTCCTTGAAATGCACCATATAAATATTGCATTTGATCCTTAACTTACACTTCATAAATAATTCATTTCAAAAATATTCCTCCATAAGACCATCAGTTGCTGAGGTGTTCAGTTTTCAGGGAAAGCATTTATTTACTGCATGAGCCCAGGAAGGCTGGTAAAGCCTTGGCTAAAAGCTCCACATGGAGCAAATTATGGTAATGGTATTAATGCTCAAATCCAGGATGCTCAATGCTCAAATCTGCTAAAAGGTTTTGCACTATATTGCCCACATCTTGACGAGCAATGAGGCCACTGCAAATGTTTAACACTTCATAGAGAGGCTTCCGAGATTCATTCTTCATAGTTCCAAGAACTGCTGAAGAATGTCTAGAGGTAGCTTCCAGAGGAGTTTCTGAAAGTCACAACTGAGAATAAACAGCCTCTTAAATATCTTCTACTTTGGGTTCAGACTGAAACTATAAGCTCAAGTCCCCAGAAGTGAAAATTAAAGGAAACATCACACAATTAATTTTGATGAATGGGTAAGTTTTAATTCATGTACAGCAATATTCTGCTTAATGATATGTCTCCTTAGGACAGTCATTAAAAATCCATTAACTTAACAGGGAAAAATCTAATAAAGTTACTCTGGAAATTTTCTGCTAGATTAACATTATGGACTTCCAATGAATATGTCTTGTAGGTACTGCTCTGTTAGCAGAGCTAATACACTAATTAAACATGTGTCATGTGTGAGGCAGGAAAGACTAGCAGCGAAATATAAAAATAATCAGAAAATCAAAGTTGAAGTTGTACCCAATTGCCAAAGATAATGCTAAAGTCAGTAAATGTCATTACAGATTTCAAAAGTAAAGGATGCCAACCTACTAGTAACAAACCTCTCAATATTTTAATCAAAAAGTCATTGAGATATGAAAATATGCCATGCCCTGTGTTAGGACAGGAAATACAAAGAGCTCATGGTCTAGTAAGGAATCAAGACACATATACAGATAATCAATATATAAGCTAATAAAGCTATTTTCAACATACCAGGGAATATTTAGCAAAAAACAACTAATTTTTTGGAGGGCATATACATTTTACAAATCACTTAAACAATGAGATAACTGAAGCTGAAATTAGTGTTCCAGTAAAATACTGTTCCTTCTAGGTCCTCCCAATGGGAGAATTTCAATCCTGACTTACCATTTCTTGATTCCATGCCTGGTTAAACAAGATTACTAATCTCTCTGATTCTCATCTGTAAACATGTTACAGTGCTTTTGTCAGTAGCTGTGAGAAATATATAAAACAAGGTACACGAAAGCACCGAGAAATGTGCTTGGGACACAGAAGATGTGCTTTACTACCCAAATAAAAGGCCTTAGTCTGAGACCCTAAGGCCTTATTTAGGAACCACTGACTCATATTCCATTTTCTGTCTTATCCTAGATTTTCGAATGTTGACCTTTTTAGCTTAATTTTTACCTATTCATAGCCTTGCCTTGTCTTGTGAACCTACTTTATGAAATTATTTTCCTACCATTGCCTGGAAGTAGTCCATAGATAGCCCTTTGAGTATGCTATTCTCAAGCTGCTCCATGCAAATATCTTCCTTGATCTAACTCAATTTCTTTTTCTTTTTTCCTTGAGACAGAGTTCCTCTCTGTCTGTTGCCCAGGCTGCAATGCAGTGGCACGATCTCAGCTCAATGCAACCTCCTCTGCCTCCCAGGCTCAAGCAATCCTCCCACCTCAACCTCCAGAGTAGTTGAGACAATAGACATGTACCACCAGGCCAGGCTAACGTTTGTAATTTTTTTTGTAGAGACGGGGTTTTGCTATGTTGCCCAGGCTAGTTCCGAACTCCTGGGCTCAGGCAATCTGCCTGCCTCGGCTCCCAAACTGCTAGGATTACAGTTGTGAACCAGTACAATTTCTGATTCTATATTTCAATGCAGATTTTCATAGCATATGTCTCCACTCAGTTCATATAAATCCTAAGGCAACAGCCTACAAGTCATGGCATACCCGTCATAATTAACTTATATGTCTTGGAAAAACTGGACTTTATTCCTATATTTTCATTCATACAAAAATAAGAAACATACAAACCACAATAACAACAAACCTGCAAAGATACCTCAATGCACATAATCACTCTACAGATATTTTATTCTTTTACCTATTTTGCTGTAATTATCTGCAACGAAGTCTTCCAAACCAACCATTTTCCAGAAACTGTCGTCCCAGCCTTTCTCTGCTGAGTAGGTCCACTTACACACCAGAGAGCAGAGAGACCTAAGAAAACAGGAGAGATATAGAACTAATAATATGCATGAGGCTTCCTTTATGTTTTGCAAAATACCCGTCCAGACGTCTGCAGAGGTATCAAAGAAGTGGAATAAACCAATGTATATAATGACACATCCCTGCTTAGGTAAAAAGTCTACACAGATACCTGTTAATTATGGATAGTATCTTCCTTCACTTTCAAAAGTCTCAGCCCTGGCTGGACACGGTGGCACACACCTGCAATCCCAGCACTTTGGGAGGCTGAGGTAGGCGGATCACTTGAGGTCAGGAGTTCGAGACCAGCCTCACCAACATGGTGAAACCTGTCCCTACTAAAAATACAAAATTAGACAGGCCTGGTGGCGGGCACTTGTAGTCCCAGCTACTTGGAAGGCTGAGGCAGGAGAATCACTTGAACCCAGGAGGCGGAGATTGCAGTGAGCCAAGATTGTGTCACTGTACTCCAACCTGGGCAACAGGGTGAGACTATCTCAAAAAAAGAAAAAAAATGTCTCAGACCTTTATTTGGATCCTGATGAAACAAACTGTATACAAATGTTTGTATTTATATCTATATTTATATGACATTTGTGAGATAATTAGAAATTACGACCTTGCTATTTGATAAAAATTTAATTATTATGAAATTTTAGATATAATATTGGTAATTGTGGTTATGTTAATAAAACGCTCTTTATCATTTAGAGATACATACTGAAAATGTTTGTATAAGATGATATAGTGTCTGGGATGTGCCTTAAATAACATGAGAAAGGGAAGTAAATGGCATGTGGCTAAGGGTAGGATTGGTCACGGGTAGTTGTTGGGACTCAGTGATGGGTTCATAAGTGTTAATTATACTACTCTCTCTACATGTTCAAAAGTTTCTATGATAAAAAGTTTTTAAAGTGCCTGGTAGAGATATTAAATGACACGGTCATCCCAGTCTAAAAAAATACTTAATGGGAGAAAGATTTGAATGCTAGGTGTTTTCCTTTCCAGCTTCATTTACCATCAAGCCACCCTTAATATTCTATAGTAACAATAAAAAGTCATTTGCAGCTCTCTGAAGAAAGTCACATTCTTGTGTACTTCAGAGCATTTGCCCTACCCACTTCTGTTGGGAAAACTAATCCCAGCTTCTTCACTATGATAATTCAACCTCTTACTTTAGCCTAGGCTGAGACCCCAGTTCTAGGTTAGGCACTCCTCTTCTGATTTCCCAGAGTGTGGAGTACGTCTTCTACCATAGCCCTTATCACCCCAGGTAAGTAACTGCTTCTTTATGTCATTCCTCTATAGTCCTATTGCCTTCTAATCTATTCTCCATATTGTATCCAGGGCAAACTTTATAAAATAAAATCTTTTATATCAGTCTCTGATTTAAGATCCTTCAATTGCTACTCACTAACTTCAAGACGAAGTCCAGTGCATAGTAGGGCTTAAAGGACCCTTTGTGATATGGCTGTGCCCATCTCCACAGTCACTCTGTTCAGGCCATTTCCACCCTTGCCTTCTCACTCTGCAATACGGAATTATTTGGAGTTTGCTATAGTGAGCCTTGATTTCCCATTTCCCTGTGCAATGAACCCTTTGCTTCATTCTTCCTGGAATAATCATCCCCATTATGCATCTAACTCTTAGTTAGCCTTCATGACTCAGCTCAGACTGTCCTTTTTCAGGAAGGCCCAGTGAAGGGCAGACTGAGTGAAAAGCTTCTTCCCAAGTTCCAATCTGGACATACCCTTATCATAATTTACCATAGTAACTGTCTTTGCCCATTCATTTTACCATCTCTCCCACTAAACCAGCAACTCTGTCAGCACAGAATCAGCCTTACTCTTCTGTGTATCACAAATACCTCATTCACATTCAGGATTAAAACATGCCACAATGAATATTGACTGAATAGAAACACTAAAGAATGGTTTGTCTACCACATGGTAGGTAAATGGTAAAACTGGGAGCTCATGCAATTTTAAAGACAACCCAAAGGGTAATAGTCTAGGTATATCTCATTCAGTCATTCACATAGATTCATGAATTCACTCACTCAATAAATGTTTGCCATTCAGTTACTATGATCCTGGCACTATGCTAGGACCCAGGAAACCAGTGGTATATAAAATATCTAGTCCTTTGCTGTCACAGAAGCTGGAAGTTTAACTGGGGAGACAGAAATTGATGAAACAATCACAGGTAAAATCATATACTAACATAGACATAAATACTCTGAAGGAAGTAGAGGGAGAAATGAAAGCCTTTAGCAGAAGAACCTGACATATCGGGTAGGAGACAGGGGAAGAAAATATCAAGGAGGGGTCCATAGAGGAGGTAGTACTGAGTGAGGCCTTAATGTCTTTTGAAAGTCAACAAATGTCACTTAGCATTAATGTTTTTTTTTAGATGTGGCATAAACATACTGACCTATGCTAAGTGGCATGAATATACTGAAGGAATGCTAGCACGTATAGAAACATTCTAAATTATTCACATTTTTCAGCAATATACATTGTTAATAAATGGAGAAGGCAGCCCACCTATGTAACATGTTCTGAAGAGTGCACAATAGGCTAACACATCCAGGCATGACATCTGAAATTCTAACTTTTCGGGAGGTCTGATAGCTCCCTGCCAAGAGTAATATTAGGGAGCAAAAGGTGGCATAGAAGGATTGTTTCCAATGATCTAATCACATAGGGTAACTCCTCAATCCCAGATGCCCCTATTCTTATCTGTAGACTACTGTGCCTCTACTATGACTTTTCCTTCCTTCTTAATGGATTATTACTTTCTTTTTTTTGTTGTTGTTTGTTTTTTTAAGTGTTTAGTGACTTTTTATTTTATTTATTTTACTTTAGGTGCATACTATATCTGGCATTTCTTCCCATGTTAACCCTCCCCACCCTCCCCACTCCCAGCTGTCTCTCCCCTACCCCCCTCAACTGCCCCCAGTGTGTGATGCTCCTCTCCCTGAGTCCACATGTTCTCACTGTTCAACACCTACCTATGAGTGAGAACATGCGGTGTTTGGCTTTCTGTTCTTGTGTCAGTTTGCTGAGAATGATGGTTTCCAGATTCATCCAAGTCACTACAAACGACACGAACTCATTGTTTTTTAAGGCTGCATAGTATTCCATGGTGTATATGTACCACATTTTCTTTGGGCAGTCTATCATTGATGGGCATTTGGGTTGGTTCCAGGTCTTTACTATTGTACACAGGGCTGCAATGAACATATGTGTGCATGTGCGTTTACTGCAGAACGATTTATAGTTCTTTGGGTATATACCCAGTAAGGGGATTGCTGGGTCAAATGGAATTTCTATTTCTAAGTCCTTGAGGAATCGCCACACTCTCTTCTAAAACGGTTGAACTAATTTACACTCCCACCAACTGTGAAAGTGTTCCTATTTCTCCACATCTTCTCCAGCATCTGTTGTCTCCAGATTTTTTAGTGATCACCATTCTAACTGGCTTGAGATGGTATCTCAATGTGGTTTTGATTTGCATTTCTCTAATGACCAGCAATGATGAGCATTTTTTCATGTTTACTGACCTCATAAATGTCTTCTTTTGAAAAGTGTCTGTTCATATCCTTTACCCACTTTTGAATGAGGTTATTTTTTTCTTGTATATCTGTTTTAGTTCTTTGTAGATTCTGGATATTAGCCCTTTGTCAGATGGGTAGACTGCAAAACTTTTTTCCCATTCTGTTGGTTGCCAGTTCACTCTAATGATGGTTTCTTTTGCTGTACAGAAGCTCTGAATTTTAATTAGATCCCATTTGCCTATCTTGGCTTTTATTGCCATTGCTTTTGGTGTTTTAGTCATGAAGTCCTTGTGTATGCCTATGTCCTGGATGGTTTTGCCTACGTTTTCTTCTAGTGTTTTTAAGATGTTAGGTTTTGTGTTTAAATCTTTAATCCATCCGGAGTTAATTTTAGTGTAAGGTGACAGGTAGGGGTCCATTTTCTGCTTTCTGCACATTGCTAGCCAGTTTTCCCAACACCATTTATTTATTAAACATGGAGTCCTTTCCCCATTGCTTGTTTTTGTCGGGTCTGTCAAAGATCAGTTGGTTGCAGATGTATAGTGTTGCTTCTGGGGCCTCTGTTCTGTTCCATTTGTCTATGTCTCTGTTTTGGTACCAGTACCATGCTGTTTCGATTACTGTAGCATTGTGGTATAGTTTGGAGTCCAGCAGCATGATGCCTCTGGCTTTGTTCTTTTTGCTTAGGATTGTCTTGGCTATGTGGGCTCTCTTGTGATTCCATGTGAAGTTTAAAGTGTTTTTTTCCAGTTCGGTGAAGAAGGTCATTGGTAGCTTGATGGGGATGGCATTGAATCTATAGATTACTTTGGGCAGTATGGCCATTTTCATGATATTAATTCTTCCTAACTATGAGCATGGAATGTTTTTCCATCTGTTTCTGTCCTCTCTTACTTCCTTCAGCAGTGGTTTGTAGTTATCCTTGAAGAGGTCCTTTACATCTTTTGTTAATTATATTCCTATTTTATTCTCTTTGTAGCAATTGTGAATGGGAGTTTGCTCTTGATTTGGCTGTTTGTCTGTTATCGGTATATAGGAATCTTGTGATTTCTGCACATTGATTTTGTATCCTGAGACTGCTGTAGTTGCTTATCAGTTTGAGAAGATTTTGGGCTGAGACAATGGGGTCTTCCAGATATACAATCATGTCATCTGCAAATAGAAACAGTTTGACTTCCTCCTTTCCTAATTGAATATGCTTTATTTCTTTTTCTTGCCTGATTGCTCTGGCTAGAACTTCCAATGCTATATTGAATAGGAGTGGTGAGAGAAGGTATCCTTGTCTAGTGCCTGACTTCAAATGGAATTCTTCCAGCTTTTGCTGGAAGTTCAGTATGATATTGGCTGTAGGTTTGTCATAAATGGCTTTTCTCATTTTATGACATGTTCCGTCGATAACTAGTTTATTGAGAGTTTTTAGCATGAAATGCTGTTGAATTTTGTCGAAGGCCTT